CAATCGTTATTGACAATGACAGATGTAAGGGATGCTTTCAACTGCCTATGTAGGCGTTCAACCATTCCGTTTGCCATTGGATGGTAGGATGTCGTTCGTATACGTTTAATTCCGAGGAGTTCTGTAAGCTGCTGGAAGAGTCGACTTTCGAATTGAGCTCCTCTATCGGTCGTGATAATTGCCGGTATACCATAGTAAGAAATCCAATTTTCGATAAGGGCTTTTGCTACAGATTCGGCTGAGGTGTCTTTGATTGGCACCGCTACAGGCCATCGGGTAAATCTATCGATGCATGTAAAAATATAGTTGTACCCGTTCGAAACTGGCAGTGGTCCCACGATATCGATGTGTATATGTTCGAATCGAGTGTCTGGCTGTGAAAACGAACCCATTGGCGAACTAGTATGACGATGTACTTTGGCTTTTTGACATTTCATGCATGCTTGCGTCCAATTTCGTATATCGCGATTCATTTTCGTCCATACGAAACGCTCACTGATTAATTTCATCGTGGCTTTTATTCCCGGGTGCGATAGGTTATGGATACTTTCGAATACTTTCCGTCGCAATGGTTTAGGAATGAATGGGCGAGGTCGGCCTGTCGACATGTCACATATTACTTTCGCGTTGCCGAACTGAACATCTTCGAATGATAATGACGTCGTGTCATCGAATCTTAGCTTGTTTAGTTCGATGTCTATCTCTTGTAACTTCGCGAGACCGTGATAATCAATTCCATTTGTAATAATCGCGTTTATCGTTGTTCTGGACAACGCATCTGCCACTTCGTTATTATTACCTTCAATATACTGTATGCTAGAAGTAAATTGGGAAATAAATTCTAATTGTCGAATTTCCCTCGGCGAATAGTTATCTTGCTTGGCGTTTAATGCTTTCGTGAGGGGTTTATGGTCTGTATACACTGTAAAAATGGTACCCTCTATCATGTGTCGGAAATGTTTGATTGCCAAGTAAATCGCTAATAGTTCTCTTCCGAACGTACTGTACCTCGTTTGTGTAGGGTTTAATCTCTTCGAGAAAAATGAAATCGGTTCCCATGTACCGTTTACTAACTGCTGCAGTACAGCTCCTACTGCTATGTTCGATGCGTCCGTCATGATGGCTAGTGGCGCTTCGCTCTTTCGTCGAACTAATATCATTTTCTCATGAAGTGCTCGCTTAGCGTTCTCAAAAGCCTGTATAGCCTCTGTCGATAGATGGAATGTTCGGGTATTTCCTCGCAAAGCGTCCGTTAATGGCTGTAGTATTGCTGCGCAGTTTGGAATAAATCGCCTATAATAGTTTATTAGTCCCAAGAATCGTCGTAACTTTTTTTGTGACTCGGGCAACGGATAATTACGAATAGCAGCAACTTCTGCTGGAACTGGCATGATACCTCGAGAATTTATCATATGACCTAGGAATTGCAATGATTTCTTTCCAAATTCACATTTCTCCACGTTAATAGTGACACCATGTTCTTGAAGTCTCGTGAATAACTGTCGTAGATGTTGTAGGTGTTCTTCGACGGTAGCGCTAGCTACTAATATATCGTCGATATATGCGTATACCCCTGTCAAACCTCTAACAACCTGATCAATAAATCGCTGAAAGGTTTGAGCTGCATTAGTTAGTCCAAATGGCATTCGTAAAAACTCAAATAAACCAAATGGAGTGATTACGGCCGTTTTCGGTATGTCTTCTGGGGCCACTGGAATGTGGTAGTACGCCCGAACAAGATCAATTTTCGAAAAAATCGTAGCACCTTCCATTTCGGTAGTGATGTCGTGAATATGTGGCACTGGGTATCTATCTGCTATCGTTTGCTTGTTAAGGGCTCTATAATCTCCACATGGTCTAATTTCTCCATTCTTTTTGGGAACCATATGTAACGGGGATGCCCAGGGACTATTAGATGGCCTTATGATACCAAGTTTCATTAGTTTTTCGAATTCTCGTTTCGCAATGTTTAACCTTTTTGGGTCCAACCTTCGCGCTCTTACTCTAGTCGGTGGACCTTTCGTGACGATATGGTGCTGTACTGTATGTTTAAGATCTTTGTTGTCGTATGATGACCTCGTTAAGTCGGCGAACTTATTTAGAAGTGACTTATATTGCTCGTTCCTATCTTTCGACACTACTAAATTCATAGATACATGATCGGTGGTCACTCCTCTTATGACTACTGAGCGTTCTCCATTCACTAGTTGGTTTCGTCGAGAATCCACTAATAGGTCAAAATTCTTTAAGAAATCGATACCAATTATGGGTACGGAAACATCAGCGATTACAAATTCCCAGCGAAGTGAAATATTACGGCCGAAATTCAAGGTTAGTTTTCGCTTGCCATATGTCTTTATGTCGGATCTATTCGCTGCTTTAAGAGTTAGCGCAGTATCGATATTTTGTTTTTCGTTGCTCAATGGAGGGACGACGCTTATCTCTGCTCCCGTGTCTACTAAAAACTGCGCGCCCGTTACTCTGTCCTGAACATAGAATAAACGATTGCTCGTGGGAGCTGCGTTGATTTTCGTAGTCGTTACTGAGAATCGTTGGGATCGTTTAAATTTGCATGGAGACCTGCATTTTCGAGCTCTGTACCCAAATGTTTGATGGTACCAGCATATAGCAGGATCTGGTAGTCCCTTAGAAAATGATCGGTTTCTATCTCTTGATCTGCTGCGCGACCAACTTCTTTTCCTGTCGTTGTGATTTAGACTCGTTAATTTGTGGCATAGCGCATTAATTTCCTTTTGCAAGGCCTCGATTCTTTCGTCAACTGTGAAGTTGAGCGTTTGTGAAGTCGCATTTCTCATTCTCTCGTAAATTTTTTCGGCTATTTTAGCGATATTGTCTATGTCTACATCGCTATCTCCAACAGCGAGGATCTGCTGTACGTTCGGTGGGAGTCGTCGCAACCATAACTGGTAAAATATATTTTTATCCACATTTCTGTCTCCAATTACGTTGCTCATATACGTTTTTAACTGCGAAGGCGTTCTATCCCCGATTTGAACTTCACTGAGCAACTGCTCGACAGCTTGTCGGTCGTTTAACGAGAGAGCTTTTATTACTGCCTGTTTCAATACATCGTACGGATTTACCGCATCCGGTTTAGTTAGGACCTCTCGTACCTTGTCTGCTACTTCATCTGGAAGTAGTGAGCTTGCATAGCCGAACTTATGTCGCTGTAAAAGAATACGATTGGCTACGAAGTAATTTTCAAGTCTAATAAACCAGAGTTGAGGATCAATAACATTAAAAGAGGGAATAGTAACATTAATAACTCCCACGGATGGTGACTGTGAAAGATCGATTGTTTCGTTATTTAAAGACATTACTAATAATAATAATAATAATAAATTAAATAGTATGCGAATATAACGTTATTGTCACTAAGAGAAATGAATCGATGAAAAAAATGATAATAACAAAAGGTACAATTTATAAAATGGAACAGACTTACTAAATTGCACCAATATATCAATTGTTCGTGAATAATCGTTATTTATTATGAATATTATCGTTAAGCTCAATAATGCTTATGGGATGATGAACGTGCGATTAAAATTGTGATATAATAAATCCACAATTATGATTATAATCCAGATAATAATTCGAATAGAAACAGAGTACGTTGAATTTTCGAAATGAAATTATCTCGTCGAAAATTGTTTTGTGTTCGCTCGTCGAGGCATCCAATTCCGTAGTGTCGTGTTCGCACGGAGAGGTAACCAAATATATTGCGTCGTGCTCGTTCGGCGAGATATCCAATTCTATTGCGTCGTGCTTGTTCGGCGAGATATCCAATTCTATTGCGTCGTGCTTGTTCGGCGAGGCCTCCAATTCTGTAGTGCCGCGATTCGTTAACCGTTTACTTCGATAACCGTTATAATTCTAAACTTAACGGTGCGTAAAATCAGAAGACAAAGGATAGCAGCAACTACAGTTTATTGTCGAATGACTCAGGTTCGGAAGCTAACAACACCTGAGCGAATATGAACGAGTGAGTGAACAGGCAAACAAGCGAAGGAAACGAACGAGGAGCAAGCGAGCGAGCGAGAGAGTAGCAAGCAATTACATAGGCAATTTATAATCAAATTTAATAAGGGCACAGCAAAGCAAAACAAAGGCTGATAATAATATTTGCGTGCGTACATATATGGGTAGGAGTATGAGTCATCGAATGATATTTAAGCAGTCAACATTTCGGCTAGAGTGTCATGTGCTCTAGTGTTATTGCAGTGCAAAGAATATGCAAATTGTTACTATCCAAATGACAATGTCTGTTAAGTAAGTTATAAAAAAGGGCTTAACCAAAATTGGCTATAATCGAAATTGATTGTAGGATGGTTGCTATAATACATCACGTGTACCCTCGTATATAGTTGGTGACCTAGTTCTCCTGAGTAAACAACGTGATGAAACAGTCCAAATGCTACAACTGATTAGGGAAACATATATTTCATACACTCTTTGCAAAGCAGAAGAAGCAAACCTGTCGACTCTATCTGATAATGTATCACTCACCATTTATAGTCAGAAGCTAAAGATTTGTGGTGAATAGAATAAGTAAAAAACAACCACAGACCACCTGTTTTTAATCAACTCAAAAATTACAATTAGCGACTACAGACGTCAAACTGTATGCCTCCAAAAACGTAGCGGATATTCAGGGTTTGGCAATAATTTGTTCGTGAAGCATTGATGACAGATCGATCACAAACACAGTCGAACCAGAAGCAAAGAATAAAGGAGTTCGAAATGTATTTGGAAACTATCCGATATATCGAGAAGTGTTTGATCTGAACTGGCTGAGGAATACCAATCCATTGCATTCAGTATAAGGTGTGTATTTTATTTCATAATGTCATACAAAGTTTAATAAGTCTCTCCATGTGACGCAACAAATGGACCTGACAATATATATACTGCCCTGGTTGATTTTCAAAGTACATCATATGTCTAATGTCTTACAAACAGCTTTCAGTAACTTCAGAATGACCCCACTTGTTCCAGGCGACAGGCTTGCATCTAGTGGTCCTACAGGTACTGAACTTTAGTCAGTCCTTATCGAACGATACGGAAGTTATGTTCGATTAGGTCCAACCATCGAGAAACGGTAGCTTTCAGATACCTAGAAGCAAATGTGTTGCGACTCGTTAAACATTTTCCAATACGGGTCCGACCGACACAAGTGGTTCTTGACAGAATAGGATCTCTCGATTAACGGACTTCCGTTTCTAGTAGTAATGGTGTAGTGGCATTAGGAACTAACCACACAATCCTTGAGGCTCAATATGAGAAAACTGGGAAAATAGATTATCAGTATTTAACGCGGACAGAAACCCAACTGTAGGATCCATTTTGAAGGTTTCGTGTTCAAAAATCCCTCCATGCATACATTTGAAAATCGTTCTTAATGGTTTATTTATTTGAAAGTTATTGTTAATGTTTTTGATGCCATTTGAGATTGTGGTGTTTCATTTCATATTAGTTTTAATAGTTTTTCTGTCGCTTTCACTGGGTTTCTATGTTTCTTCTTGAGCTGTCTATGTTGTTTTAATTGATATTTTATCCCGGCGGCTGCCATATTGATTGTTCTCTCTTTGATTGTGTTGCTTGATTTGACTGGGATCGTGCATTTTGGTTGTGAATTGGAGCACTGTCCCAGAATTAGAAACACTTTGTGTTATAAAGCAACAGAAAATTACTTGATCTATCTAGAAAGGATAGAATAACACTTATTTTTTGTTGCGTTCAGTAATTTTCTTACATTTCTTATCAATTTTTCTATTTATTGTGATTTAGATCGATTTATGTGGGAACAAATATTGGTTGAATGACTGAGTGGTAATATTTGCTTGGGTGAAATCGTACATTTGTATTCATGATGAAATTTAGAATAGTTGATACCCCAATTACACGAGTTTCTACCCTTACCAGACAGTTATCCTTCACCCAAACATTGTTTGGATTTTATACCAACAATAGAGAAGGCGGGAAGAAGGAATTCAATTAATTCAATTGATCGGATGGCGTGGCTCGACCTTGCAAGCGTGGTCACTCTTGCGTGTTGTCTTATCTCCTCTACTCATATTAAATATATTGTTCTATCTCCAGTCTAAATGTGTTGTCTATCATGTATTAGTAATTGTTACGATACGATAGACAATGATGTGGCTTCCAAGTAAGATTTTATAGATTAGGCAGTTACAACATGATAAATCTGTGATTTTAGGATTAGATATATTATTAGAGCCGTACTGATAACGAAGTAGACCATAATTCCAAAACGGATCACCTCCAGGTAGGAACCTGGGTTTATTTTGCGATATAAAGAAAGATATTTGCAAATTATTATCAAACACTGTCCTGAGTCCCTAGAGTTAAATCAGATTTACTTCTGTAGGACCCTTGGGAGGTCGCTTGGACCACCTTAATCGGCGGCGGTCTCCGGATTTTGACCGCTCTTAAAGAGTGAAAGGTTTCACTGCAGTCCATTCCACTATGGAGTGTTTATGACGCAATAAGCCATTAGAAGATCACCTCTGAGACACCTGCACTCTGATGTGTAAAGATTCTATGATTTGAGGAGCTCTGCATAAGGTTTGCGTTTGGGTGTCGAGGCTGATTTCGTAGTCCGGCATTGGATACGTTCCAGTGTATTCTTATCCCTTTGTAGTGAGGGAGGTAGCATCATATTTCCATTCTCTAAATGCGGTCGAATAAAGTCTTTAAAGATTACGTGGGAAGTCCTACCGTCAAACTGGCTAGAATTGCTCCTCAACGTTGCTAGTGCAAGGTTCCCTCAAGAGACATTTTCGTCTCAGTTAGTATGAGACCGCAGATCGTGAGTTGCCAAGACTCCTAGACCGCTTCCAACTTGGGATACTTATACAGGGGAGTTATAGGATTAATATCCAGGTCACTATTTGGTGGATTAATCTTTGCTGCTAGAATAATAAACCTAATCCCGAAATTGTAAATTTGTCATATGTCCGTCTAGTCTATAAGATCTTACGTCGAGACCACGTCATCCCTACTGAGTCTTCATATCGTGCAATCGGCGATATGACGTTTAATAATTCAGAAGTACACATTTGGGCTAGGAAAAGAATGATACGTTTAATACGAAAATAAACAAGTTACATGAAGTGATAACGCCTGCATGGCCGAGCCATGCCATACTGACTAATTTTTCCCGCGTCTACCATCTCTGACCTCCTCTGGGTGTTAAATGTTGAATGTAAATATTCCCGGTTATCGTATGCCCATCTTGATGGACCGTGTGGCTGAGAACGAATGCCACTACAGGGTTATCTAGGTTGTACGTGCAGCATGCAACATATCTCACATGGACCACTTTACATTTTGTATTGTTGAAGTTAAGTTCGTTGTTACGTGCCAGACTTTAAAGTCGATCCACACCCCTCTCAAATGCCGGTTTATAATCTTGCTGGCAGACTTTTTTCCAAAGCTTCACAACGTTAGCGACAAGCAATAAATCAGACGATACTTTCTGAGGAAGGTCACCCATATAATCTAAGAGGAGAAGGGGTCTCGGTGATGGACCCTGAGGACTCCCACAATGACATTCTGTTGTTCGAGAAAAAGCGAAGCCTACCCTGACCCTAAAAGTCGATTATTTAGATATGGAGTAAACCAATATGTCAGTGGTGACTTGATACCTAGTCGTTTAAGTATAATGATAAGACATATGATTGACTGTTACGTCCAATTATTTGTTTTTGCCCGTTCCAACTATTGAAGTACTGGCCGTCGATATTCGCAAATTACGAACCCAAGTAGGCAAGAGGACGAAAACTCCAAATTTGATACCAAGTTTATTCGCAATTCACAAATAATCGACCAAAGTCGTTCTAACAACAATAATTATAACAATTACAAAACAAACCTTCAATTTTGTAGGTTCCCGGAGCAAAAACTCCCAAATAACAAACCAACAACAAAAGAAACCAAAATGTCCGAAAAGAATGATATAAACAAACAAGTCCAAAGGTTAAGTAAAACAAACACATCCAAAAAACACAGTGAAATTGATGTACATAAAAAAGGCTTTAATCAGCCAAATGTCTTCAGTTCTCCCGTAACATTGACTCCATAAAAAGCTCTTGAGAAATCAAGATGTATGACATAAATCTTGCTCTTGCTATCAAGGGCGGTTGTCCATTTGTCCACCGTAATCAGCAGGTTGGTTATACAGAAGTGATCCTTATTGAGACCGTGTTGTTAGGGTGCAAAGAAGTTTGTGGATAGTTAGTAGTGTGGTGTGGGCTACTTATATCTACATAAGTAGTATACAACGATGGTCGGGCATTGAATATATTTTAGTAGAAGGTCGATAAGGAGAGAACGGGAACGGGACGAAATTGGTGTGAAAATGCATGAACAATAATAATCAAAGATGATGGACTGATATTCGCAGAAGGAACGGTCAAGACTTAGACAATTGATTGATAGTTTGCAAATCAACTATTTACTATATGGTTCTCATATTTTGCTGAGATATTCTGTAGTTTGAGCCTAAATACATGCGATTGTCCCCACTCGTTTTTGTGTTCACTACAGTAGTTGCATAGACCGTCTCATATCAGGGACTCCGTAATTTTTGAGGGTATTAAGAGAAGTGCAACCGACAGATAGCTTGAAGGTTCATAATGTAACGGTAAATAAATCCCAAAAATCAATGGATCTATAGGTCTTCGACATTTGATCACGCATCTGCACCAGATCACGAGTGGATACGTCGTGCTCCACACTTCCTACGACCGCTAGCCAGCTTAGACTGATCACTTCTCAATATATCGGTAGCACACTAAATATATCTTTGAACCTCTTCTCTTTTGACTTCTGATTTCACTTGGTCGACACGTTTCGATTATAGGTGTTACTGGTTATGGTGTTGCCAAACTCCAAATAGTTGTAGCACATTTAACAACATCGGTCTACAGAAATGCGCGTCGTGTGCATCAGCTTCTAATTTTCTGGTACCGTACCTCGGCTTAGAGAATGTGCGAACACCACCTTAAGCTGTTTTACCAAGATTGAAGACGCTTCCCTCAGTATAGCAGGATGAACTATATCTGGGCTAGGAGAAGTCTTTTTTTGGATGCTGCAGTTCCTGATATACTGATTCGGCGCTCAGCTTCAATTCTGAGACCGCCGTTGAGTCGCAGGTAAAGCTCTCGTCGATGTAGGTTGTATGCGACGGTTGAAATATCTGAAAATACTATTCTGCCAGAAGCTCGGAGATATCACTGTCGTTGTTGGTTGAGGCATCAGGACCTAACAACCAGGGAACTCCGCTTTTGGCTTTTAGAAGAGGAGCTGAATGACGAAACGGGTCTTTCGGATTGGAGAAAAACTTATTAACTAGCTTTATCTGATACTGGCCTCTATCTCCTCTTGCCGCCTTTGTGCATTGGTTCATTGCTCTTTTGAACCGCCCATATGTGTTGTCGTCACTAGTTCATTTATAATCCACCCGGCTGTACCTTTACAGTTTTAACATTATTAATGCGTAACCACTTCTCCTCAACGGAGTCAGGATTGGGAGGTTGTCAACCACAAATTCTGCATTTGTAAATAAGCAATCTAAGCATGAAGGCGTCTGACTGTTTCTTTATCGGGTTACTCACTTCATATTTTCGAATAATCCCAAATCTTGAATGAGGTTGAAAAACCGAGCCTCAGTAGAGCTATCACCTCCAATATAGGTACGCTCATATAAATTGACTTCAGGAAGACTGAAGTCTCCTAAAATTGGGATATGAATGTATCCAGGATGAATAGAGTGGGATAATCTCTCCAGAGTACGTTTGTCGTACTCGGTGTCAGCAACAGGCATCATATACACATCGAGGTGTTAAACAATCTCACTGAACATGTGTGTAATACTTGAGTTTTGAATAAATAAATAATGGATACAATGTTATTGCCAAGATTGTAGTCTTTTATGCTTACTGCTTGAAAAGGTTTGACGAGTAGAATTGATCACGACACATGATTGTTTGTTTATATGACTGTCTACGCCTATATAATTGCATACGATTTGAAGTGACGGGTGGGACGTGGTTGATGTTGCACGTGACTTGTGGGTGAGGTGTTGCTAACCGTTACTATGTTATGTTTTTCATGATGTTTTCCAGTTCTGCTATTGATGCTTATGAAACGAACTCTTTATCCCTGATTGTCTATCGTAACACAATGTTTTATCTTATTGTAGGTTCTCGTACGGCCTACATTTCTTTTAGTCAGATATGTTTTGGGAGGAGTTTCGAGTTCAACGTTTATTTTACTCGTAGTAAGAATCTCCAGTGAGTGATGAGGGAGAGACTGGCTGGATATATTCATCTCGTAAGTACTTTCCTATATGTATAAAATGATGATAACATTTCTATTGGACTCGTGTCCGCACACGCCCCTATCTGAAGCTTGTACCGTAACCCAAAATATTTTTTAATTCACCTTAGGTGGTTGTTTGGTCCTCACATGTACCAAGTGGTTGATGGTCAACTTTCAGGAGATCAGGTAAGCCACATTAGTTTTTATGATGTCGCATAGTTCATATGATAAACATGAGTCGATATATAACTTTACTGATAATTACTGTAACCACTAACTCGTCTTTTCACTTTTCAGAACGCCGTCTGCTGTGATCGTTCCGAGAGATATCAGAGGGGCGAAAGAAAACTCGGTAAGATTTCGCTAGGGTCTTTGGTATATCAAATGATGCTCCGTGTTTCAATTGATCTTATGATTTTAACTTTTACTGACAATCTCACTTATCAAGTTTTTCTGTTTTCAGATGAGGACTTGGGAACTGCTAACTTAATCGTCTTAGGTGGGTAAATAAAATGATGTGACACCTCTTGAATGATTTGTGATTACATTCTCCGTCTGATTTTGCATATACCTGTCAGAACTAAGTATGCTGTGTTTCTATTTTAGGTTGAATGAAAGCCTGGAGACGTCCATTTCCAACGGAATCCTGTACATTTGGTTTCTGTGATAAATATGGTTAATTACTTTGGTTTTGTTCTTGCTTAGTTACCGTGGGAGCAGGGTCTTCAACCTCCTAGGTTCTTGGTGTTTGTCAGAGTTGGTCGAGTGTGCAAACGGATTTAGGTTCATTCCATTTAAGTAGTCGGCGCAAGTAGCGTGTATTGTAGGATGAACCAACCGAGAGCACTTAGCCATAATGCCAACATGCTTGTGATCTAGTTCCTCTGCCGAGTCGATGGGTTCGCATAGGTTGTAGGTGTGTTTGCACAATTAGCCGCCGTAAAAGGGTGGTGATTGTTTACCTCGACCTCCTTTTTAGTTGCGAACACCCAGTGTTACGCTGTTGAGTAACGGGTATTCCTCGTTCAAGACTCCTTCGTAGCTCGTTGTTGCGCACTTCCGTTTTGCTGAGTATGGGATGTGGGTCAAGCATGAGTTTCTGTACTTGGAGTTGAGCCGCTTCAATGGTACCCTGACGTGATCATCGTTTCGAGGTATGCAGTCGGCGTAGGCCTGTTCAGGTGGCGACGGGAAACAGTCTTCTAAGTACTTGTGGAGACAAGACATGGATTTTCGTGGACAATGGTTGTGGGGAATATGATGAGCCGCTAGGGAATGTTAAGTGTCAGTGTAAAAGAAGGGTCATGTTGAGGTTCACAGTACGTTCTAGTTGACGTTGTTAACCAGGCACCAACCAATTAGTCTAGCTGGCTGCATCTGGAGTTGAAGTACCTAACATCAAATACTCGATTTGAGTGCAGTTGGATGGTGCGCTGCTGTGTATAATTGAATTGGCATTATCTCCTAGGTCGAGTATGTGATGTGTTAGTTTAGGTCGAAACTATGATCCTTCTAAATTACTTTCCTGTAATATGTTTCAGCGTGCTCATTATCCTTATGGGCAAAGCGTTAGGTAATACGAGATATCAATCTAGAGTTGAACCTATTCTCGACGAATCGGGGAGGGATTTAGGTAGGTTACGATTTATTCTTGTATGGGGTTTTACGCATCTTACGGGGGGCCGTTCGTCACAGGCAATTGGTTCTGTCGGAGGACGTCGCTCACTCTTGATAACTACCGATGATATCTCTATTTTCTGTGTCATAGGCATGTGAGTTCACCGGATTTGCCGATCTAACTTAGAAAGTATTGCTTTTCATAATTGATACGAAGCCCAGTGTTGATCAAAAGGTATCTCCACATAGCATTTATTTTGGTCCATATTGATGTTGCTTCATTCGTTGTTCCAGGTTTGTCGCTTACCTTTCATAATGCGTTGTGCTCCTAGCCTAGACATTCTCATTCTTAGTTGTACATTCACCTAACTTATCATGACATTTATATTCGTAATTATTCTCGATGCCATAATAATAACAATAGATATTATTATTATTAACTCAACAACGATTCCCGAAGTCTTGGGTTCGATTCCCTGTGGCGAGATGACATGCTGGTTCCAAAGAAATGACATAATAGGACATTTTATCCATTGAAACACAATAATAATTTCGGATTTATAATTGTAGAGCTTGGAGGAGTTGTCGAAAATCATCGTTCACTCTAATACTCTTTATTCTTAAATATTATGCAGGAATTTTCAAACCTATTTGAGTATTGTGTACGGAATGCCTGACAAGAAAACTGTTTGTTCGTCTAAGGCAACGAGCATAATAATCATGGCAGTTATAATTATGATAATCAGATGGATAAAAGTTATGTCAATAATATTGGCAAATCAATATGACGGTCCATTTATTTTGTATTATATAGTTATTTTGATGAACTTATCTTAATAAAAAATGTATAGAAACCTAAGAAACACTGAATGTCTATTTTTTTCATACTAGGGTTCAACAGCTGTTCACTTTTTTACTGCTGTTCAATGGAATTCTAATTAAAACTAGTTTATAATATCGACTGCAAAATAATAATATAGTCACACCAATGAATTATTTTGCTTGGGTAATTATAATAAGTAACTTATACCAATTGAGAACGATTAATGAGAAAATTAGGAATGGAGCTGATCAGTGGTAAGTAAAATTAGGGATTGAAGATAGCATAAGTCTTCATCAAATGTAGTTTGAGTAAGACGCAACTTGGACATGAGTCTTGGAAAACACATGTTAAATATTGACATATAATTCTCATTTGCATTCCCCCTTTACTTATGTCTTATATTCTCATTATTTTATCCATGAATACTCATCATGTCACTTTATTTATTTTTACACCTCTATAACCTTTAATTATAGCGACAAAAGCATTTTAATCATCTTATTATATTCACTAAATCTTTTGTTATTACTCGTATTACGTAATCTATTATTATAACCTTTCTATTACGTCATCTTGGTTATTCGTGTTCACATTTCCTCACGGAATTAGTACTTTAACAAAAATTTTTCATATATATATATACGATTGTACAGCTTGATAATAAATTCGTTGAAAAGAGATCCCTACGGAGATATTACCTGGTTAGTTGCGTTGCGACTAACTTCTTTTACGGAAGATATATTTACACTGATCGATCACTGAATACTAATCAACTTAATGTTTATTTCGTGTACAGTAGTTATCCAGTGTCATCATTTTAGTTGTGGTCGTTGTATTCAAATGAAAGACGAAATAGCAAGATATATTCTTCATCTCCCATATAACCAGTAAAATATCTCATGGTGATAGAAATAACTCCGAAATCTAGAAAATTATTGTTTTAGTCAAATGATTTATGTACCCATATATTTCAGAAATTTAAAAGTTTCCATAGAATATTCAAAAATGGAGGATATTTGAACGAACAATTTATTTTAATAACTTCATCATCAGACTCTACAGTTATATGTCCTTAATTATTGTGATACTTTACAAAGGCGAAATTAAGGCATGTATTAATGAAATTGATGGATGTTATATGTTAAAAATGGTGAACGTTTGCATCTGTTATGACATATATAATTCGAAATTGAGTTATTTGTAAATGAGAAAGGTCATTTAATAAAAGTCAGGATGATTTTTAGTGGAATATCGAGTGATAATCAATATAATGGTCATGTAATAGTAATCGAGTTCTAGAGAGAAGCAGTAACCAGTGGAGTTTAACCAGGTCTGTTGGGAGATATCAAATCACTGATGACATTGGTGAATGGACTATTTGAAGTTAGACATTAACACCGTTGGATGCCGGCCGACTCAGTGGTCTATCGGTTAAGTGTTCTGGCGCGAGATTGGCAGGTCCTGGGTTCGAATCGCGCGAGTGCGAGATCGTGGATGCGCACTGCTGAGGGGTCCCATAATAGGACGAAACGGCCATCCAGTGCTTGTAGGTTTTTCATGATGGTCTAGCTTCAATTGACTTATGACCTCAACTCTATAATAAAAGCAAAAGTCGTGCGAATAAAATGCATTGTTGTAGAATTTTGTCTTGTCAATCGAGGTAATAATAATAATAATAGTGATAACGTTGTGTGATAAGAAAGATATTATCAAGGTAATTACGGTAAAAAAGAATTCGATTGAATTGGGATAGATGAATGTATAGATTAAGAAAGATGAGCAGCCTTTTCTGATTCCGGTCCTTACTTGGGATGAATGTAGTCCGTCGTATGAATTCCGTATGAAATGAAAATTTATCGACTCTTCAAAATACGTCATCAAAACGAATTTCATACTGAATTAGTACAGAAAATAGTGAATTGAAATTATGTCACCTTTTTTCTCTTTACAATGACTACATAATTATCTATGCTGTCTTATTCAACTTTCCTTTCCATTTATTCCACATGTTGTTTTCACACAAAAACAAACGTTCGTATTAAATTATCTCTGAGTGTTGGAATCATGAGTCAATTGAAGCTAGACCACCATGGAAAACCTGGAAGCACTGGACGGCCGTTTCGTCATATTATGGGACTCCTCAGCAGTGTGCATCCACGATCCCGCACTCGCACTTATCCCATAATAGGACGAAACGGCCGTCCAGTGCTTCCGGATTTTCCATGGTGGTCTAGCTTCAATTGACTCATGATTTCAACTATGAAAAATACTGAAATCTCCACAAAACCCTTTCTGATTATTGTAGTGTATTAAGTAATTTGGTAAATATTATCAACCCTCATACGACGTGTATCCCAACTTCAAACACATTAACTCGAATTCAACAACTGAGTTATCATCATCATCATCACAATAATACAAAAGTCATAAAGACGATAAGAATTTTGGCAACGTTATCAGTTTATAACATTATTAAATTTGTGTATATTTCAGTAGAGATTGAACATTTCAAGCATTGATAAATTTCAACTAACCCTAATTAAAAGAATGCGATATCACTTCTAAGTTAATTTCATGTTATCCTTCTGTTAAATGCTCATATTCAATAATCAAGCAATCCTTTCAGTTTGTAGTGGATGTTACTATGTCAAGCCCATTCTATCTTCTGGACAGACTAATTGATTAATTCTCCTCAAGCAATATTTATGCCGTCACCTATTAGCTTATTAACCCTGAATGCTTTTTATATGATCGGATCTGTGTCAATTACTTAGTCTATTTATCACGTGTCGGTAATCTATTTTTGTTTGACTATAAATATCGTGTCCCGCTTGATTAAGACAAGTTGGTTTACTCGCCTTTTCCGTCCTGCTTCGTTTCCTTGATTGTCTGTCCGGACTGACGATTGTATGAAACATATAAATTAAAAAATACATTCTCATATTTGGCTTTTTTAATTCCATTATTCATTAATACTATTTAAGTCATCAATCAAATACGAGGGTTTGCGGTATGTATATTTCGATAGTAGTCATCATACGATCCAACTGGAATCAGATATCCGGCCACAAAAAGTTTTCTATGCACAGTTTTTTTAAATCTAATAATTAAGCTATAATATTTTCACATAAGATTTTGAAGCTGTGTTGCTAAAAATGAAAGTCCATTGAA